ATAACACTAACATGTGTAATACATATTTGCTAGCCTAACTCTATAAATAACCAATCATCCTGGATAAGACAGATATTGGATGGGGAGACAAAGTGGATTTTTAAGTCTACAGCTATAAGATTGGAATTGGAATCGGACACAATGTGGGCTGGGAACTGACAGAGCCAGTATTTTTTATTATTAGCATGTCTTACTGTAGTTTTTTGCTTTTTATGTACAGACACTGCAAATGTTGGTGTACATTTTGCTCTGTATACATATTTTAATCTCTGTTTTCTCACCATAGCCATCACTGAAGTCATCTTAAATAATCTGTTGTTCACCCCAAAACTGCCTGACTTTTCTTTCTTCATGTATTGAGCAGTTTTTTCCCTTTTATGGTAATAAGGCAGGTTTTCTTTAAAATTTGACACAATTATTTATAGGAAGGTTATACTTTTTTCTGTTTGGTGTCTGTATACTTGCCGGCTTTGCTGTCTAATTTTTATATATAATTGGTGCTTATTTTGGCACTGGCATTATGATAGGACAAAACTTCCTTTTTCAGATAAGGGATCATCAACTAGATAAGTGAGAGTCGAGTGTCATATTTGTAGCAACCTGGGCAGTTAGCACATCTTCCTGTTAAATTGGTTTTGTAGATTAAACTCATACTGGTTTTATCAGTCGCATTAACAAATAGAGTTGGTTAAAGATTTATTTTACAAACATCAATTTTGATACACGGCCTTAAATAAAAACTGGAATTAAAAACCTCTTGGCTTCCCCCCAAAAAACTTTTTTATGCTCAAGGTGGCATTTAATATGTCTTCATCATTTTGTTATTTTAATAACTAAAGAACTTAGCTTTTCTAGCAGAAGAAAACTTAAAAATAGATTGTTCCTTAAAGTTCAAGCTGATAGAAACAGATGACAGTCACCGTCAGTTCTTTGATATACAATGTGACTGAATGTAACCTGAATCTGGTAGACAGCAGGTCAGACAGACTTTCATTCTCCTGAATTTTGCCGTGTAAAAATGACTTAACAGTGACACCTTTTCCCCAGAGGCATACATCACACAGTGAAGGCTGGGCACACATGCTAATAAGGCCCCACGTTTCTTTAATGCCATATGCATTGCATTGTGAATACCGTGTTGATGTGGTTATAATGATGGAGAGAAATGCTCATGCCTTTGAAAAATTATACACACTTGCACACTTTGACATGCAGTATCGCACAGGCATGCAATAAGCAGTGTCACCACAGCACATCATGAGAAGGGTTTTTTAATATTTTAGACTGTAGAGGGCACTGTTTGGTCTTGATTCTCGGGGTGTCCCTTGCTAATCTGCCCTTGGGCAATCTGCACACATGTGAGTCCAAATATCACACCTGTGTGTACAAATGCAGGTTCAATGGGTTGACCACCAAACATGTTCGTTTATTTGTGTCCGTGCACATTAATAAGCTATTTTGTTTCAGAGGTTTGTACAAAGAAACTTTTTGCAGATGATTCTTAAAAATGTAATGATTTTGATGCATAATAGCAATTTTTAAACAAAGGGGTCCATTTTCACTTTTACAAATAGGATAATATCATGAAGGTGCCCCAGTTACAGCAATGTAATTTTGTGGGACACAAGAATATAAAAGGTGGTCATTTTTTTGGAGTTTTGTCTCAACAGCAACAATAGCAGCAATAAAATAATAACCTTTTATGTATCTTGGGTACAGTGTCCTTTTTTTTTAGTGTCTTATGATCATTGTCCTACATTGTAGAAAGTGATGTGAAGTTCTAGTTTTATCAGAGAGACAAGTGATGACATTTGGGGATACACCTTAGCACTCTACGATAATTTTCCAGCACCATGTAGCTTGTATACCTTGCATGTGTGGAGAAGCGTGTGGTGTTTGTAACAATCTGTTTCCAGTAATTATGTCAAGTATTGCTGGTCTGGCCCACTCCAGAATCAATCTGCTCATCTCCCTAGTTGATTTTTTTTTTTTTTCAGCCTGAACCAATATTACATTGGTAAGAAGTGTTTTGCTCTGTTGATCCTGTAATTGGATCTAGGACTGATTATTATCTGTCTGGAAAGGTATAAGGGTTACAAGTGTTTTTGCACGCATGCTGCATATATTCAGGGTCAAGCTTTACAAGGTAATGACCTCTTTAGTGAGTCTGATGGAGATCAGACATGACCACTATATCTTATCATATTGCATGGATGTGGAGGAAACTGAGTGACTTAAGGACTAGACAACAAAGAGGCTGATAAAAATTGTGATTATGAAATTCTGGTGACTTTCAAATGTTTTTTTTTTTTTTTTTTACTGAGACTGACACAGTCTCTCAGCTATAAAGTCAAAAAGGTTGATAGTTTGATGAGGCATGTTAGAAACTGCTCAGTCTTAATTTGGAAAACTTGTCCTGCATTTTGACTGATGTGACTATTTAAATTAATCACTTTTCATTATCAGTTTCTTCATTAATTGCTGTTTTCATCATGATCAAAATATTTCCCAGCAAAAGCAGGGAAGTGAGTTTCATTCACATCTCTCAGAACATCCGCTGATACTATTATAACTATTATTATACCAAAAAAAAAAAATGTTGACACCATGTCTGGATGGGGCTCACTGTCAACATGGAGGTCATAGACTGGAGAAAGTTTAGAACATTGACATTTATGTAGTAAATGTTAGCACTCAAAAGTAATGATTTCATTTGATTTTTATTTCAAGGGAGTAATAAGGCATAGGTCAAAATAATTCAGAAATTGCAACAGTGTGCACAAGTTTGTGTGTGTGTGTGTTGTCACATCGAACAATGATTTCTAAATATTTATGTCATATCGTATCACTTGGAGAGAAGTACTGTCAGAAATAATGTTTCCCATATTTCATGAACTTAAAATAATGACTTTGAACCATAGGAGAATGAAAATGAGTCTGTATCATGCTCTGCCAAAAGGATTTTTTGTGAGATGATTCTTACCTATATTTTTATGTGATTAGCACGCCTGTCAACAGAGAGAGAGAAAGAGAGAGACTTTCAAAAATACACATGCAAGCCAAATGCATGCACATATACACGGGTATTTGCTGCCCAGTTAAATGGGAGTGTTAGAAAAGAAAAGACAGCAAAGGTCACCACCCTATGTCTTATATTTTACCTAAAATATCCATATGCTAGAAGTTTGCTAGCATGAACAGACTGCTAAACATGCAAAAATTATGTTCCGATCATCAAATCCTCACAAAATAATCAATGGTTGGGTTTCCTCTTTGTTGGCAGATAATTTAACCGTGAAATTCTTGGCCTTCTTCCTACGACAGATCAACAGCGGCACGTCTTGGAAAGAGAAAGGTTATTGTTAACTGAGTAGTACTAAGAGGTCAATGGTGGCCCTGAAAAATAATTCTGAGACCTACTTTGCATACTTGATTCATTATTTTTGACTGCTAAAATCTGTCATTTGGAAAAATTAATTATATGAATACATAATTTGAAATATAAGTGCTCATCGAAAAAGTCATGTCAGGTAAATGTATTAATGATCTAAGAAATAACCATAAATTAGACAAAAGGTTGAGCATGTATTTTGAATATATTCCCTTCTTCTTGAATTATCCGTCTTATATATAACAGTATGTTTGGTTATGGACTCTGGGGGATGAAGAGAATTATTTGTCATTTTTACCTATCTCATGTCAGGCTCCATTAAAAAATTACATGGAAAGCAGTTCATAGAAAAAAATGAAGGGCAGCACAAAATAAACAATTCCCACTAGAATTGCTCAGTCTAGATTGTGTTTCCTAATATCAATATTTTGCACACTTGGGCAAATTGATGTAGCTGAAAGAATATCGATATTTCGATGAAGAAGCTGACCTGGTAAAAATTTTTTTATGTTATTGACCGTAGCACGTAACCTGCTTTCCTGGAAAACCAGCTCCGATGTGAACAGTTGATTGCAGCTCTTGTCTGTTTGCGTGAAGGGACGCATTGATTTTTGTATTTATCTGAAATGGGATTATCATTGTTTTGGATCGTTCACAGGATGCAATATACTTTCATTTGCATTTATGAAGAAAAAACAACTAGTGAAGTGTTAGTACTTTTGGGTACACGCATTACTTGTTGGTGAACTTTTCCCACCACTTACAGTAAGGGATAGGCTTAGTACATAGAAAACTAATCATTAGATTAAAAGATAATTGTTCACTCGTTAGTGCATACAAAGTAGAAGGGACTCGGCACATAGATTTCTTGTTCGTAACTTTTTAACATTGTCTGCCTTAAGAAACATTTACTGCCTGGGATTTAAAAATACCAATGAAAGGTGCATTGTTTTCTTTAAACCCTCGCTGAATTCACAGGTACAGTGGCACATAGCCCAGGAGAAAACAATTGGGTGGAAAAGGATCGGTTTAAATATTTGCTCACCGTTCTTGAGGGTAATCTTTGTCTACTAGGAGCTGTGTGTGTATGTGTTTTTTTCGTTTCTTTTTTTCTTTTCTAAAAATTTCACCAAAAAATTTTGCATGCAGTAAAAAGTGGAGAATGATAGTGTAGTTACAGGGACAAGGAATCCCATCACTTACGTGAATGATGTTGTGCCAGAGACAGAGTTTGTTCAACTGGCCCAGTGGGATTCAAGTTTTGCTAAACAGCAGTTTAAATTAACAAGAATAGACAGGGTTTTTTTTTTCTATTTTCTCCCCTACCCTTCTAAATTGCTGTGTGAAAATTACAAAGTTATGCAAAGGTTGATACAGGATTCTTTTTCTTTTTTGAAAAAAAAAAGAAAGAAACTTGCACTTTTGCAAAGTGTAAAGTCAGCCATGGAAAAGGTTTTGTTGCCCCATTGGCAGCAGCCTGGGTCTGAGGGGGATCAGATTTCCCAAATTAGATTGTAAAGAATCTGTCAGATGGAGCTTAAAAAGTGGCCTGATTGATAGTTTACTTGTATTATCACCAGCCTAGGTAGACGAGAGGTCATGTGGCAGGGATAAGACTCCAACACTTCTCAAACAGGGAGAGTAGATAGCTGATGGAGATGCTTTAATTTCCTCCTCTCTTCCTCCTCTTCCTCCTCCGGCTCCCCCCATTCTAGGATTTCGGACAAGCAGGTGGTGGGAGAGTGCGCCTTAAAAACCTCACGCCAAGTGTCGGTGCTATCAGGTGGGTTCTTTCAATTGGGAATCATGTCGGCTTTTGTTGTGGAAAATCACAGCCATTTATTACTAGTTTCTGCTCTCCTTTTTTTTTCTCCCTGGTGGATGATCCTATGGCTTCATGTAGTTGCTGTATGCAGTAAAATCCATTTAAATGCTCATTGTGTGTATCAAAGCAGCACAATCAATACAGGCCAGTACAAGTAACTGGCTCATGGCAAGAGTGGAAATTCAGTCGGAAATAATTGTCCTTGGATGGAGATGGTGTTACTAGCAAGCTGGCTTAATGCAACCCAGACCACTGGTGCACTGATATAGGAAAGGGAGAGCAAGAAGAGTGAGAAAAAAAGTAAGGCTCGATGTCAAACCAATATTGTGTTGAAGGGGACATAGTTTGAAGATGATCGTCAGTGACTGGGCTATTGATTCCTTGGGTAAATCTTTGCATGAATATAGACACGAGAGCTTCACATGCATAGTGGTAATTGAAGGTGGCTGGTAATTTCATTCCGTCCTAATCATTACTGTAATGCACTTCAGGGAGTTTCAAACATATGAATGATGATGATATTTGGTTTGCAATGCCTTGAAGGTGTTGCCTTGTTTTTTTGATAGGGGAAATGTCATTGGTCGCTCTGTTGTCTTAGAAGATGTTAAGTTATCAGCGTGATGTGTTTATGCAGAGTGGATTATTTTAGAGGCTGTTACCCGGAGTGATACTATATGTAACTAGAAGAGGGAACAATAGAATCTCATGAGAGAGACCCTGTGAAAGTTACTGCAAGATATCTTGTTTTAGGCGGGTAAGCATCTGCCAAACTGACGTCTAGATTTTTCTTTCAGTGAAGTTGTGGTTTAGATGTAGTGTGTTTGTTCTAACAATGTAACATGTGTTTAAATTATTGATTAATGATGGTTTTTGGGAGAAAATGTAAACATTTGATTGAATAAGCAAGATGAAGTTTCTCCATATTTTAATGTTCGCCTTTAATGAGTAGTTTGTTTACTTGTCATGATGTGCAATCTGTTATTAATTATCATTCAAAGGAGAAAAAAGTACCAGCTATAAGATTGTTTATCAAACAGCAAAAACAGCAAGTTCAACCATGGCTATAGCTTATTGTAATTAGCTTAATTATTCCATTGTAAGTACAAGAATATAGACCCCGCATGCTGAAAATACAAGGAAGTAATCTGATTGAAAAAAAGTTGGGTTTCATTCCTAGAGATTTACACATCATGTGGCTGCTAATTATATGCTTATTATTCCAAAATTACTACATAGTAAATGGCACGCGGTCGTCCTGCTATGGATTATTGTTGGGAGAGGCTGAGTGGGCGAGTGGCTTGGTTTACTGCTTGTTGGACATGATGAAATAGCCGAGGGATTAGGATACCATACCTTGGGATTGGTATTTGTGGAAGTGTTCTACCAGATTGGTTTTGGTTTAAATTGGATAACAATACCAGACAGTCTTTTTTTTTTTATGCAGCATGATACATATTTGGTCATGGGATGAAATTTTTTTTTTACTGTAAGACTTGAACTGAAATCATTCTGGTTATGCATGCAGTTAAGTATGATTTTGTCAAAATTGTGAAACATTTCCACAATTTTTTTTTAAGTTTCCAATTTTCGGTTCAAAACAAGAAGTGTTATCACAAAAATAACGTGCCCAGATTTTCGTAATCCATCACATCGTTGTTCGTGTAGCGATCCAGTTTTGACATGGGTGTTGATATGCTGTAGAAGCTTTGATAACTGTTAGAAATGGGTTGTATTTGACAAGATTAGACGACTGGTAGGTTGACATAGCTCTTTATCTGGTGTGACTACACGGGTCTTAAACAAGCATTTACTGGGACAATTGGAAGAAAACTGACCCAGAGGTGAAGTATGCCGAACTCTATTGATTTCTTGATAGTCCACTGATAAGCTGGGTGATATACTGCAGTTTAACAGCTAGACCCGGAGTAGATGACTTGATTGTAGGTTTGTAGAGAGATCTATGTTTGGATGGGAACTCTCCAGGACAGACAAACACATATCAGTTGCTGGGACTCAGAAATATTAAGGTAGAAAAAAATGAAGATATTTGTCTGACCTTATAAGAAAAGTAGCACACCTCAAGCTGCAGTATTCATCTGTATAAAATTGATGTGTTGACTTTAGAGGCTGTTATCTCTCTATTTATGTAGATTTTTTTTCTCCCCAAGTGCATCATTCTGCGGCATTCTCACGTTGGCCGCTGATGGCAAGCTGATTGCTGTTTGCATTAAGAATCGAGTTAGCAAAGTACCCAAGTAATTTCCAATGGGAAGATGCTTTAAAGCTTTCAACTGTCATTTGATTGTCATTCCGTATGATGTTACACATATTTTCCTCTTTTGACCAGATTCTACTGCTCAGTATTACAGGACAAATTAGTGGTATTTGAAGTTTGTTTGTTTTTTTTTTTGTTGTTTACGCATTTTGACCCAAGACAGATGAGATTATTATGTTGGCAAAAATTCAGCTACAGTATGTTAGTTACAGTTATTGATATTCTAGAAACTCTGATGTGAAATACACTGTAAGACGTCTATGGCCCCATTCAGAACAGGGGACTAACTAGTCTGAGGGTCAAATATGGTGACCCACTACAAAGCTTGCCATCTAATCCACTAATAGACACTGAATAGATATCCAGTGGGGAAATATTCAAGTGGGTCGGACATATTTGACCCTCCAACTAGTTTGCCCCCTGTTCTGAATGGGGCCTAAAATTCCATCTGTTTGGAGAGGTATTGCAGTAGATTTTTGCTTATGGAAAGTTAAAGTGAAATATTGATACTTCTTTAAACAAACTTCCCACCTTAAAGAGCAGTGACCATATAACTAGGAAGTTTTTTATTAACCAGGAAGTTTTTTTATTATATTGAGAAATGAACAGGCAGATCAAAATAAAGAGCATTTTATAATTTAAAAATTATCCCTCCCTGCCCCACCCGTCCAAAGTTCAGTGTGTGTTTGAAACTCAAAACATGTTTTTTATGCAGTTATTCTAGGAGAGAAGTTTTTTTTTTTTTTTTTTTTT